ATTTAGATTAGTTTAGCGTTAGTTGATATCTGTGAGGCCCATATTTGGAGAGTCCGGATCGATTCTGCCCCTCACAACATACATAAAAAATTTACTCCTTTGATCTACGTGACAAATTGGTAACTATTACTTTAAATAGCAATTTAAAAAGGCCTACATTTAATTAGTCCAAATACCAACATTGTACTCATGTATAGTACGTACGTACGTACGTGCTACATAGCTGATAGTAAATTCTATCCACACTTATTTTTAGACATATCTAATTCGTTTGTTGATATTTTTAGTCGACTGCTTGATAAATAATTTTAATTCTGGAATTTATCAGTGTTATAAATAATTGAAATCGCGTAATGGCTAGTTATAATTAGTATTCCATAAAATGAGTGGTATTCGGCTATTCGGCTCTGATTGATGTGAATTCTAACAAGATTTTTCTTACATAATTCAAATAAGGTTTTATAGTTTTCCAATTTATATTACATAAACATCTAACATATATTGAAATTAATAACTATATACTAAATAGTGATAAAGTTCAATGAACTCATCTTCCGATTAGTGAATTCGATCTTTTTTTCTTTTTTCTTCCTTTTTTTTTGGATGTTCTATATAATAGGTGGGAAGAAATAGCTTCGCATGATTATTAATATTAATTTTTAATATATTTTTAGCGGAGTTTTACGGAATCTGCCTACCTATTCTATAGGACATCCGGCATAAATTCTCGTGAATGTAAATTATATTCTTAAAATGGGAATTGGTTAACTATTAAGACGTCCTAACATGAGCTCAAAAGCCTGTATACCAATTTGAGAGGGGTACGGCCTTGTGTTAGCCAATTCTATTTACGTAATATACAAAAATTTTTCTATATAATGAGAACTTGAATCTCTTGAAGCTGCCTAGCACAAAATTTAACTCAGTATTATCTTTGCTGCCTTTTAATATATTCTTAACAAAAATTTATAGTTTGTAACTTTCAACATATATTCACTTTCAAAACACTATTACTTATTTCAATTTCAAAAACATATTCGTCTATAATTTTCTCCAACAAAATTTGAGTTGAAAACAATCACTATTAAGAAAGCTTTGAAAAACAAAATGAATAAAAAATTTGTATACAGGGCTCTTGCATTAATCTTCTTTTTTGTTTCTATCAAAGAGACAACTGCAGGAATTATTCCTCAAAGTAATGATAATCCTTTTCTTAAACGCGATACCGCAGCAAAGACTATTGCTGCAAGCGCTATATTTAACAATGACGTGATGGGCGGTATGACTTTTGAATCAACAGAAGGCTCCGGAATAATGTATGTCTATGGTAGTTTCTCAAAAGGCTTTCCTCAAGATTGTTTTGGTGTCCTTCTCAAAAAAGATGGAAAAACTGCCATTGATTTGACTACAAGTTTAAATATAACAGTTTCGAGTTTGGGTGCTACTAATCCATTTTGGGCAGCTGTTGAATTTGATCTTGCCGCATATTTATCAATTAATGATAAGCAAAAACGTCAAGATGCTGGAACAACTGCAGATATTACTAATGGTGCACAAACTGTGAGCAGTGCACCAGTTACCGCCTTACCTGTCTAATTTTTTAAAAATAATTTTCTGTTACCAATTTTCGGTTTTGTTTTAACAAATTCATAAAACATTTTATGTAGTTTAATAGAAATATCGACCTTTAAATAATTGCTTTTTGTATAATTAATTTTGATGTTTAATTTATTATTTTATGAGAAACATTTTATATATGTAAATAAAATTCACAAAATGTTGACTTTCTTAAACCTAGAAATGCGCTACTTTAGAAGGCAGAAATATAAATCAATTTATTCATTAAAATATAGTATATATAGTATTTGAAGTAATATTTTAAAATTTTTGCATATTAGTTTTATTTTTAACGTTTAAAATAACTGAAAATTTTTTGGTAATAAATTAGTTTAATGTCTTTATGTTTGAGAATGTAAAACATAGATTCGGACTTGAGTTCAACAAATCGAACTATCTGTTTTTGTACTATATATCAAACCTTTGTATCTACTATGGTGAGTATATTGATTATACGTACAAGTTGATTCATACTTCCGTTATGAACCTTTATTATTATTAAATAGCGAATAAGCATTAGAAACTTAATAATTGATTACAACTGTTTTCATTATTTTTTGGGACTTTTAAAAAATTGTTGATGACCGAGTCGATAAGTTTTTGATATCGGCCGACGTCAGTAACTTATCAATTCAAACTCAGTAGCTTATCAATTCGATCTTCAAAAAATTTTAGGATGTCTCAAAAATAACGAAAACAGTTATAATATACGAATAAATATTAGAGTTAGCCGGTTTAATCTTCCTTTATATTTTTACATTTGCAAAACTTTCGATATATTTAATAAACCATTTAGAATCAATAAAAGCTATTCGAGTATCTTTATTTGTTCCCATTGTGGATTCTAATCCGGTTAGCATTTATCCGGATAATTATCAGCTGTCCAGATAAAATTTAGATAGGATGCCCGGATAACCGATAGCAGATATCCGTTTACTATTACAGATATAAATCCTGGGACAAATTAGCTGAATGATTTAAGTTATTGATTTCGGCATGATCAATATATACATGTAATATTATACTTATTCTACAGATAATAATGTCAACACATCCAACATTATTTGAATTTTGTTTACTTGCCCAACAAAGTGCTTTATGTGTTTAGTTTGCGGCAAAATTTATAGAAAAGGTTGTTCATGTTACCAATAAATCTTGTCAAAAAAAGGCTACGGATATAAAATAAATTTACATTAAACATATTACACAAGTTGTTGCTAATATTAAGTTAGAGAAATAATTTATTGACATATTTATATAGTTCATGTTGGTTTTCTTAAAAGTGATGGAAATTTTTTAATACATCCCTATCTTTGAAAGTGCTTGAGAACCCGACTTATAGGCACCTAGGTGGTTTGCAATTTCTGAAATTATGACCTTCTAATTATTTGCAAGCGAAAATGCTTTGAAAGTATCTTTTTTTTTTTTTTTATTCCACCAGATATATGTGTGGTCTTGTAATTTTATATTAGTAGTAACTTAACGGATTGGTCGATCAATCGGCTAATTTTTATCAGGATTTGCATAATTATCCGATGTTATGACCGGGGGAGAGCTTTATAGGGTCTTGAACCAATTTATCTTCGATCGTGAACAAATAGTGATTAAGGTCAAATGGTTTAAATTGATAAACTAACACATAATTACAGGTTATAAGGTTTCTCTTTATTAACATAAATTAATACATCTGATTATTATAACAATACTAAATACTATCAACAACCGTTCTTCCTTTTATAAACTGCACTATAAAAAAAAATCTCTTGGAAATGATTGGAAAATTCTGAAATTAATCGATTTTTTGTTCGGAAAATAGACTCCGTTTCGAACATTTAAACCGTTTTTTATACGTTTTTTATACGATAATTTTTCAATCAGAAATTTTCTATTTTTACATTCCGTACAAACATCGTAATAAAGACAGTACAAACATAAACCCTGTTCGGAAAATCGACTCCATTCCGAACTTTATGACAATTTTAGTATCCGATCTGAATTATCCGGTGTTACAGAGTCTTGAACAAATTTAGCTTCGAACACACATAATTTATTAATATAAATCAATACTAAATACTGTACTATCAACAATAGAATCGTTATTCCCTTCATAAACTGAAACCACACTCTTGTATATTTTCAATTCCTATGGTTTCAATCCCTTGCTTGGGTTTTTAATCCCTCGCTTGGTCTCAATCCCTTGCTTTGAGTTTCAACCACCCAACTATGCCATAAACTATACTAAAATAAGAAATACGTAAAATAATAATGATAAAATAATATGACACTAAAAAAATTGTGCATACCACCGGATAATTCAGATATGGATAAACGGATGACGGATTTATCTGGACTGTAATTCTAGCTCACATCATAGTAATTGAGCGTTGCTACATTATTAGGTTAAAGTGTGATACTTAGCCAAAATCTCAATTATATTAAATTTATCCATAGTTAAATTATGTCACAATTGTTCAGTAGTTCTGGACTACGTATTTAAAATTAATCATCAAGAGTGCTCAAGCGTCTCAATCAATTGATTAAATAATGATTCTGATGATGCTCAAGCATCATAACGAATAACAACATTCAGAGTTAAATGCTTGAGAGTAGTCTGTTTTCATAATCTTCGTTATTCACCTAAAAAAGCCTAATAAAAAATTTCTATTCGGTAAGCTGTCGAAGCTTTAACTTTACTTGTGTTGATTAGGGTGCAAGCATCTCATTCAATGTAATTAGCTAGTGATCGAGATTGCACACAAATATTACAATTAATTTAAGTAATCCTTAATGACAATTAAATTTTAGCCAATCAGCACAACTTTATGATAAAAATGATACGTAGTCTCGACTAGTGCTCGGCAAAATCAAACTTTTTTTTGACACTCAGATACATGTGATGGGCTGACTTTTAAACCAATACAGCAATACTGTATCATCGTATTACTATATTGCTGTATTGATTTAAAAGCCTGATTGTCACATGTATTTGAGTGTCAAACAAAAGTTTGATTTTGCCGAGCACTATTATTGTAATAATATCTATAAAACCATTATTTTATTAGGCCATACAAATTTAATTACTTGGTTTTCATAACATGAAACTTTTAAATAGACCCGGCCGGCCGGCTTTTCTTTTTTTTAAATTTCATACATAAAATTTTATAAAATTTTATAAAAAATTTTTTTAAAACTCACTCGGTTATTAAGACATATAAAAAAATTTTTTTGAAGTTTTCAAATTTTGACCCGGCCAGGTTATGAAAACCAATTAATTAATTGCGCATGGCCTTACATTAATCTATATATTAAATTTATAAAAGCTTTCAAACGTATCTCTCAATGTGTTTTGCTAGTAATCGAGATCATGCACAAGCTATAGTTGGTGGTAGAATTACTTAATTATGGTATTATAGTATTTTACTATAGTAGAATTAATTATGGCGTAGTATTTAATTACTGTAAATATTATATGCCGCAATGTCATAATCTGTAGTGCCGCAATGCTACAATGCCATATGTTGCAATACTAGATACCTCAATATAATGCTTATGACAGTGAAACTTCTATTAATGCACCCTCTATCGATGCACACCCTCTCTAAATGCACGCTCAACCTCTTTCCCAAACATATGCATGGCTTTGATAGCCAATACTATATATATATATATATTGACGCAAAAAAGTTTGTTAATCGAATATAAACTCAACTGAATATTTAAAACCAGTAAGTTTTTAAAGACTTGTTGTTTCTATTTGAAAATGCGTAATTAATAGGTCAGGCACAATATTGTTATCTGATTATAACGATTTTATTTATGATTTAGGTTGAATGATAATATATATGCATGTGTTAATAACTATATATCATATTATCACTAATTTATATTCTTGATCATATTTATAAATGGTTAAAGAATTTTATAATGATGTCTTGAAAATAATCATTAATTGACTAGAAAATACTTTGACATTAAATATAAACTTTTTGAAAAATAATAGCTTTACGGTATTTCGACATAACAGCCTTACAGCTCAAAAAAAATTACGGCAAACAATACAGCACATTGCCGTGACCATATTTATTTGTCAAATTAATTCTACTGCAACTATAGATATGGTTATGTTCTGTAATGGCTTATCGCGATTAGTATAGTGATTTTCTGTAAAAAGTTCGGTAACTGTACTTACAAAAATAACTTAAACCTATCTAAATCACTTATAAAACCACAATATATAGGTAGTAAGTCAGTAATCGAATCTTTTACAGCAAATCACTATGAAAATCACAATCCAATATAAAACTAACATAACTCTTATCTAAATCACATACGAAATTACAATAGTTTGTATTGGATGTGGAGAATTATTGATTTAGATAGTGTTACGTATGCTAGTTTTTTTTTTTTTTTTTTTGAATTGATCGTGATTTGTGTAGTAATTGGCTTTATATTGGATTAGTTGTGATTAATATAGGGATTTGAAATAAAAATTTGGTTACTGTACTTAATAATTATTGTGTTGGCATCAGTGATTTAGGTTAGTATAGAGATTTGCTATCAAAACATTCGACATAAGTGATTTAGATAGGATACAGTATACTACAGTACATCGATCGAAAAATGCGGCATTAAAGGTAAAGGTGAAGAACGATGAAATGACGACGAAATCAAGGACGAAAACTACAAATGTTACAAAAAATTAAAAATAAAAAAAAAAACCAACGAAAGTAAGTATAAAGTTTAACATATATTTAGTGAATGCATCGTCTAATTATGAAAAAATCAGAAATAACGTATTAATTAAAAATCATATATTTTTAGTGCATAGTACAGTATAGTGCATGCATCTTATCATAGTACAAAATCCCTTTTCTGTTTATATCAAAAGGAAATGTGGCGGATTACGAGTAAAATTGTAATCAAGTTGCTTAACGCCAATAATATACTTTATTGGAAACGATTTGCTGCATGCCGACGAAGAAAGATAGAAAGTTACGTACGTAGAACTTAATACAAGGATATAATTTTTATGGAAATTTTTATTCTTTCTGCGGGATTAGTGTGGGAAGAGTAACTGTTTACAGCTATTTTCAAAAAGATGTTGAAAACGATTTCCACATACCCATGTGGGAATCGAAGAATGTGAAAAATCCGATTAGAGCGGGTTTTGAAAACTCTAGAAATCCGGGAAACATTGTGAATTCTCCATGTTATAATGATCTGCATCTTTCCACAAAATTTTGAAAACAGCTGTAGATTCTTGCATTCTATGGAATTGGTGCGGGAAAAGAATAACTTTAGATTTCTTGCATTGCGTGCGCATATAAAGTTATTGCTTCTATAGAAAAAAATGATGGTTTTGGATTTCTTGCATTGTAGTGTGTATATAGAATCGAGCTAGTGAGCACTTCAAAGTTTCTAATACCCATAGGTCGTCGGTAGTGTCTCAGCACCAAAGTCACTTCTCATCAAATTTACTGTTGTTTTTTTAAAGATAATTATTATACACTTACGTATACGCGGTGATATTTTTATTTTTCAAAATTTCGATTATGAAACCATCTTTTGGCTTCTAACAAAAATAATCCTTGCAAAATTTTGGTACAAACTATGCCTCGCCCCAATCCCTTTACCCTTTGGTATGTTACATGGATTTGCAAATCATATATCCGTTTATAAATTCGTGTAAATTTAGAATTTATAAATATAAAATTTAAATATTTTAAGCATTTATTATAAAATATTATTTTTTTTTTTGATATTAAAATAACGATAATAGTTTTAAAATTTGATTGGCTGTGCTAATTATTCACATACCATCAATTTCCAATACTCCGATAATAAAATTGGGGATAAATTAGCATCCCTGTTTTTGATTCAGATTTTGTGACCGAACATATTGTATAAACTAAGAAAATACATTAATATTATTGTACGTATAAAAATAACACATTTTGTGTAACATCAGCAAAAAAGGGACAACCCTGCTATCTAGGGGACATTATTGTTTGCGAAAAGATAAATTATAATAAATTGCATAAAAAAATAATTTCAAAACGTATTTATTCGATTGAATATTAACACTTTTTTAATAGTATATGCAAAAAAAGTTCAATTTGATGTTAAAGTAATTCACGATGAATTCATATAATTTTGTAAAGCTGTATTCATTTTTGATATCTCTTTGTTTATTAATAATATCAACGAAATCACAAACATTTAATTACACTGAGAGCACATCAGGCACCTTATTCCCTAACACGCAACCTCAAATAGTAGATATTGAAGCTTATGATGATGGAACAACACTCGTCCATATTATACGACATGATCCAACAAAATCACAAGGCTATTGTTTAGAACAGATATTACGTATAAGAGTTATTCAATTAAATGGAACTGTTAATGAGATTAATCTCGATTTAAAATTAGATCCTGTGAATTATTGTTTAATTACAAAAGGCGGTATTTTAAAAAATCCAATTAAAATATATCCTTTACAAAAACCGTTTATTCTGATAAGTTATGTACGAACTACAAATTCATCAAATCTCACAACTTATGAGGATTGGGGGGATGTTATTGATTTGAATGGTAACAATCTAAGGTGAGACAATAATTTTATCGCGAATTTTTTATAAAAATTAATTAATATCGACTTAATATTTACTTTTAATTATTTTAAATTTACTAGTTCAATATTTTTTGGCCCCTCTTATATTGATCCTGCCGGTTATTGGAATCCAGTGGGTACAATTAAGCAAAATATAAACAAAAAACTTGGATTTCTTAGAGTAGATTCTGTAAATCAAGGCAATTTGCAATTGACCAGATGGCAACAATATTCAGTGTAATTTCGGAATTTAATATTAACATTTATAATAATAATAATTATTATTTTTTATAATTAATGTATTTTAATTTATCTTTATATAGAGATGAATTTGGTAAATTATCACCGATGAAAATGACAAACGATAATGTTTCAATCAGTTCGAATGAAGTCTCTACAATGACGATATTTTCAACTGTTGATAGCGGTTATGCTTTAGTACACGGTAGTTGTAAAAATGATAGTAATGCCAAATTATTAGCAGTGCGTTGCACGCTAACTGCTAATTTTATATCATATAACCAAACATTTAAAAATCGACAATTTACTCTCTATGAATTAAGTAGTCAAAATACATCTTTTAAAGGAGTTTATTGTGATATAGTATCTATTGGTGTTGGTCATATTTGCACAATTTCAGTCAGCTATCCCAACATTACGAACAACTCAGCAGTCGATACAGAATTTGTAAGAGTTCATTTCTTATCGTCAGGATCAGTGCTATCAACAACTGTAATTTCCAACCTTCCTAACCTAGCCGGTATTCCTAAATATGGTTGGAGAGTGAAAACAATGCCATTCGGTGGATATATATTAGATGTTACAAATTATAATCAAAGTGATAAAAATAGTTACCATTATATTTATACTTATGACGAATACAATATTCTTCAGGCTACTTCAGACTCACGGAGTCCTTTTATTACAAATAGTTGGGGTGTAAATACTCTTTTGTATAATAATAATTTTCTGCTTGCTTCACCTTATACAAATAATAAGAATACATCTTGGTCATTGTACACTATCCCGCTACTTAAAATTCTAGCATATCGTGGTATGTTTCTATTATTATATCTTTATTACTTATTTTATATATCTATATTATTTCTAATGTAACATTTATATATATATTTAGATTTTGGTTACGGTAATCTTCAGATAGTCCAAGTTATTCCGTCCATAAATAGCACAGTTAATTCATCAACGACGACTATAAGCATCGTCTTTTACGATCCTGTTATGATATCGGACGACTTGACAGCCGGTTTTGTCACTATTTACCAGACTTCTACTAATAATATTAGACAAAAAATTTCACCAGCAATGAATAATTATTATCAGATTAGTTCGGACAGAAAAACCGTTAATTTAACAATCATTAGTAGTACATTTAATCAACACGGTGAAAATTATTATATAGAAATGGATAATAATTTCGTTAAAAGTTATTTATATAAGGAGCCTCTAACAGGAATTCAAGATAGAATTTGGAACCTCACTTCAAGTAAGATTTATTTATTAATTTATTTGCTGTTGTTTGTTTTTTTTTCTTTTGCCTTACTTTAATTTAATTTTAATAATATTTAAATATTTTACCAACTACCGATAATTTAGTTTATTCCACTTCAGGTATATTTTATTTCATATCTGCATGCATATTTAAACTTATTGTTATTTACATAAACTGAAAATTATTTCATATATAGTCATTGTAGATAATCCCATCGTTGGTTCAGTCGGTCTGCAACCGGAAGAAATAAAAAAATTCTTGTCACTTCCTGATCGCTCCAAATATTTTGATGCATTGTTATCTGATATTGCTAGTAAAGTACCAGTGCGACGCGAACGTTTAATAACAAACGGAAAATTTCAGTATATTAATTTTGGTCAGCCTACCGAACAAATTATTTTTTCTATTCAAGTCAATCCGTCATATTCAAGTGATGAAAGTTCTGCTCAAGCTGTAGTATCAGACTTAAATACTATGATTAATCATAAGAGCAGTACAACATTTTCAACTGGTTTTACAGATGATTTAGATCAATTTTATGGCTTTCAAGTGTATAGTAAGTTGAATTGTTATGTTATAAAAATATTATTATAGAATTATATGATTAATACTTCTATTCTAGTTGGCTTCTGGGATAAATACCGAGTCGAAATTATTGTGTCATTTATAGTCCTTGCACTACTCGTATTTTCATACATTACGTCATATGACAAAATAGAAGTCTATTCAAAATATTTGAGGACTGACAAATATTATGTTAGATTAATTCATACATTTTCAGGTTTTATATTCATTGCCATCAATTTACTTCTCACGTGTTACTTTGTTTTTGTAAGTACCAGATATAAACCAGAACTTGCTTTACCAAGGTATTAATCATTAATATCAAAGTACTTTAATATTACCTTAAAGGTGATACAAATATTAATATTTTCTTTTTTTTTTTACTGCATCAAAGTTTCATAATCTTTGGTATTCCATTAGGTTTAAATGCAATTATAGCCATTATCGTTTTGACCTGTATTGCATGGCCTCTAAGAGAAGATTTGAAGAAGATAGAAAAGCAAATTTCTGGTGGTTTTAATGCCGAAATTACAAAAATTTTTAGGAGTAAATTTAACGAAACATTTGAAAAAGAAAATCTTGACGAGATAGCAGAGGACTCTAAATTTAAAATGCGAGAAAGTTTAAATGAAAATTCAAAAAGTTTTAAAAAGATTTCTAATAAAATACAAGAAAAGACTGATAACGAGGTGCATGAGATTTGTGACACATTATTTAAAAAAATTTCTGAATCCTGTGAAATTCCAGAAGAAGCTAAAATAGAAGAATTTTACAAAGATGTCTTAGATGGCAAAGGTGAAAAATCCCTGGGTGATGTGGACAACTTGGAGAAAAAATTTCCGACTGCTGAAGAATTTAATGATAACATTATTATCATAATACAAAAAGAAATCTTCATTTCTCTACTAATGGATGAACTTATTGTCATGTTGCTAGAAAACTTTTTTGAGTTGCTACATGTTGAACTTTCTAAAAAAATTGTAGATGCAATTAATGCAAAGCATTTCGACAAAGCATTAAAGAAAATCTCAAAACGTATGTTTGAAAGAATTTTCAGTAAAATGAAAAAAGAAGTTGATTTTAAAATCAGACGAAAATTTAAAAGTTATTACAAAACCAAAGAATATTCTGAAAAGATACAAGATGTTTATGAAGAGGTTCAACCAAATTTTTCCGAGTTATTTTATGAGACTAACGAAATTTCTGATCTGATTAAAAGGTTTCTTGATGAAATACAAAAAGTAGAAAATCTTAACATACTAATCCCCAAAATTTTTGATCAAATGAAAGATAAATTTTATGAAGATGTAAAAATAATCAGCGATAATGTACAGAATGAAATTTTAAACGATAATTCAAATAAAGCACAATTATTATCAAGAAAATCAACATCACAAAGATTATCAAGAGCACCAACATCACCAAGAACACCGACTTATGTTTCTAAGAATGATAATTCAGACAAATCAGAGGAAGAAGAGTCTAATAAATTATTGGATATTTGCAAAGATTTGTTAAAGAAAGAGGATGAAAATCATACAATGAAGAGCGCGTTGATTTTTTTCATAATAGTTGATAGTGAATCCTTAGTAATTTTAGAAAACGCACTAGAAAAGTATTTTGCTATTCTGGATAATAGGGCACTAGAATTTAACTTAAGTGTTTTTGCTCGACACTTCAAAATTATTGCTCAAATTAGAGCAATTGCAGAGATTTTTATTAAAAAGATTCCACTTATCATCATTATGGTATGTTAATATATTTTATTTGAACATTTAGGAGCATTATTAATTAAAACGTGTCATTATGCGAATATTATTATCACTTTTCATTAAACTTAGCAAATTAAATTATTGATTAATTCACAGTATTCATATAATTTTTCCAATATAACTTGTTTAAAAATTTTGCAATATTAAAAAATACCATATTTAATTTAAAACCTTCGCTTATACAAATTAATCATAATGACATGTTTTTTATTAATTTAATGTGCGAATTATACCGGTTTAAAAATTAATTATTTAATATCTTTTTTTTTATACTTTTAAATAGGCATATTATGCTTCATCTATAGTAATCTATGACTTTTTTTCGTTCATGGCACTGATAACATCCTGTCTTATATGTTTGTTATGCATTATATTTATTTGCTTTTCATATGTGTCAAAAAAGCGAGAAAATGGCGCCAGATATATAAACGAAGATTTGAAAGATCAAAAAGCGTAAATTTGATAAATCAAGAAAAAGTGGCGTAAATTTAGTAGATAAATTTATATAATGCTTCTATTATTAAAATATTTTATTACTATTTTTTGGACAAATATGTTTCGTCATTTATTATATTTATATTTTGACTTTTGTATTTGCTTGTAAATGATAATTAACATTATATAAATTATGTAATATCGAAATAAAATAAATATAGGTTGAAAAATTCAATCAATAATGTTGATGATTAACCAACCCACAAAGATTGTTCCTCTCATGTAATTTTTGACCAATTGAATTTCAAGATTAGAAATAATGTAAAACGAAATCACTTTTTACAAAAAAAAAAAACAAGAATAGCTCCAAATTTTTAATTAGGAAACCACCTGTTGCTATACTGTTCTAACCCTACCCTAACTACAATGCAGTTTATTAGTTTTAATTACACCCGATTTTTTTACTTAAAAAATTAACCAATAATTCATTTTCCAGTACCCAACTGTTATAAAAATTTAATATAATAATTGGATATACGATTGGCTAATCTATTAATCCAGCCAATGTATCTTTTTTTTTCAGTAACAACGTTTATAGAATTTTATTAAGAAAATTTTTTCATATTTTATTTAATCAAACTTTACTGAGAAACTATACAATCCTTTAAAAAATAAACTGTTAAAGATCTCATGCCACCTTCATTTTTTTACAAAGTATATATATTGAAAATTTTTTATTATAATATAAATTTACAGTATCTATTAACACCTCTAACAATTTATTAATTTAGGCTCATCACAATTCAACATATGGGGTGAGTCAATAGAAAAGAGACAAATTTTTTCTAAATAAAAGTTTTCTTGATTTTAAGCTTAAATATCTCAACAACTATTTTATTAAATTTAATAAATTTTTTTTTTATTTTAATTTTATATAATTTCAAGATTAAAATAAAAAAATTTTTAGCAAATTTGATTAAATAGTTGTTAAAATATTAAATTTAAAAATTAAAAAAAGTTTACTAAAAATGATTTGTCCCTTTTCTACTGACTCACCCCATATCCCTTAATTATAGTATCAAGTAATCCATGGTTAGAAATCCATTTAGCTTGCAATTTTATGAACCTCAAAAATAATAAATATCCACCAAATAATTTTATTGAAAGATTCAATAATGTTGAAATATGTGAAATTAATGAGAATAAAATATTTGAAATAAATAATAGTTTTAGAGAGATTGAGCAAAAATATTTAGAATTGTCACAAGTTTTAAATAAGGTAAGGCTTTTTTATTTTTATTTATTTAATTTTATTTATTTTTTTTTATGTTAAATTTTAATTATAATTTTATATTTAGGCACTTCACATTTTTGACAAATTTAAATGTTTTTCTAACTACCAAAAGTTTCTGAATAACATGGAAATAAAATTAACTCCACTTAAAAAGTTAGTAAAAGATATTTTGCACTATAAAAATAAGCATAAACTACTATGAACTTGGAAGGATAGTAACTAAAATATACAATATTATAGATAAAAAAATTTGATACTATAGCATTTCAATTATTTGTATTAAATTATTATTAATACATACATTTGAATTTGATTTGAGTTTAAATATTTAATTAAATTAAATCAAATCAAATCAAATTGCAGAACTTTACTAGAATTATATTAAAAAAATATATATATATATTTTAAAAGTATATACCAAGAAAAGAGTACTATATAGTACTTAAAATCTAAGCAGAATAATCCTTCTAGACTAACTAAATTGGAAGTAAAGTATTTTTAAAAACAAATCTATAATATTAAATATAAAGTAAATACTAGAATCAGTTGTAAATTCAATAAAAGCAAAGGATATATATAGCTTAGACAACTAGGCTTATTAATATATAGATCAAGTTAAGATATAATATTTCTGATATCTAATTTAAAAACATATAAAATATAGAAAGGTTAAGATAAGTATTATTACTAATATCTATACTAAACAATATCTAAAAATATAACTAGAAAGATTATCAATAATAGATAAAACTAATAAAGTACTAAAGTATAAGATTGCTTTAATTTGTAAAATTAGAAATAAAATTTGCTAAAGAGTTTAAATAAATAATTCTAGTTTGGGTTGCAGATACAGTATCTAGTATAGATAGTACTAAAAGTGTAGTAGCTAGTTGTATTTTTACTATAAATACAATTTGTATAAGATTGAATAATTATATACAATATATTTTAAAAACTTTAATAAACTTGCTTTAAGATACTTAATAAAAAATAAAAATAAAAAGAAAAAGAATAAACTTTATTAAATATATTTATAAAATATACTATTATAATAATATATATTTAAAATCTATTATTTTTAAAAAATTAACTAATATTTATCACAAGTAATTATTACCTGTGTTTTACAAAAATAATTAATTTCTATTAAGACAAAAATTAATATCTTTAAGATTAGAGTAAGGGTTAGAAATTAGAGTTAAAATTAAAATAATACTTTATATATAGTAAAATTTAGCAAATAATTTTTTTTGTTAGAGTTTAAAAGGTGATTTTATAAACAAAATTTTAAGATATAAATATTTTTTAAAAAAAATTTTTTGTTTTTGTTATACAAAATTGATTTATATATTACACCTGATCCTAAATTTTAATTGGCAAATTGACTATAAGTGATAATTATCTGTAGTATAAATTAAATATTTTATTATTAAATACAATATAAAAATTTTTTTAATAAAAAAAATAAAATTTACAAATATTATATATATTTTTTCTAATAAAAATATAATAAGTTTTTTAAAAATATATATATTTTTTGTTATTTGTTATACAAAGCTAATTTATATACTATATCTAATTATAAATTTTAATAAATTAAAATATTTTAGCATTATATAGTACTATTTTACTAAACTTATAAATTAGCAATTTTAATATATTAATTGCAATTAACTATAAAATATATAGTAGTATTTTTAAATTAATTACAATAATAAAACTACTAACTCAAAAATATCATTTCTTTTAAAAAAAAGCTTTATAGTATTGTATATAATAAATTTAATTAAACTTAATATAATACAAACTTTTATAAACAATCTACTCTTTTCAATAATCCCTTGTATCAAAATTTTACAGAAAAACTGAACTATGAAAACTTATACATATTATATTTCATACAAACAAAACTCTATCTAATTATTGTTGGGTACAAAGTCCATTTATTGAGTGTTTTGTTTACTAAAATAGAGTGAAAAAATTAATAGCAGATAGTTAAGCAAGACATCTTAGTAGGCTATAGTATTATCAAACAAAGAAGTAGTTAATCAACTCTGAAGCTTTGTTAAACACTATAGATATAAAAATAGAAATAACTGCTTGTTAAAATACAATACTCTATATAGCATAACTTTTATACTTATTTCTTTAATATACTTCTTTTTATTTCTTTGGTCTTTACTACCTATTCATCTTAGTACTAAAAAATTTTTTAGAAAAAGTAGACAAAATAGCTTATTTTTGCCAAAAAATTAGTATTGTTTACAGTTTTCAAATTCAAATAATGTAGTAGATAACAATTACATATTTGATCTAAACAAGTATAAAGCTATTATTTTAGGTCGATCCCAGATCAAGGTATCTCTAAAAGTAGTAGCAAGTAGCTTGAAATAAGAATCCTTAGATAGCAGTAGTATTTAGCTTAAGATATAAACTAGAAGTGGATTACTAGAAATTTTCAAAGTTGGTTTGTCAAAATAAAAGTAAATTTAGTAATAAAGCAAAGCTTTACAATAGAGATATATAAACATTGTTTATAAAGTAGTATATAATTTTTTAAGCCTTGGCATATTTTATAATAGTTCTGTCTTGGTTGTTGCATTTCTCTCTTTTTTATACTTTTTTTATCTTGTTCTATTTATAATTGAATAGCATTTAGATTTAGTTTTTTTTTTTTTTAAATTTGTTTTATTTCTTTTGTAAATATAGTATTTGCTTTGGTTTTTTGTATAGAAGTAAGGAATTAACTTTTTTATTCGAATCTAGGTAGAAAAAGTTTAAAAAAAAAGGAATAGACAATCTTGACAAGCTAACAATTGGCTATTGTTGATTTTGCAGACAATTTCTATGAAGTTAGAGCCTTGCAAGAAAAAGAATATGTTGTTAAGGCAGATTGTATATGAGCACTGAAGGTCAGCAAATTTGCAGGTAATAAGGTAGCTATGTGAGCTTTCTTTGTGTATAAAACAATACTTGAAGCTATTTTCTTTTAGTTTTATATAGTATAATTGTATAATTATGCAGTTTGACAAATAAAGTAAAGCAGAATTGCCAAAAAAAAAAAACTTTTATATTCTAAAAAATAAAATTTAAATATTAATTAAATATTACAAAAATTAAATAATTATTATAATACAAATCGTTTAAAGATACTCAAAATTGCAGCTTTTTTAATGAATATTCAAGTGGCCTTGAATACAGTAATACAGTATAATTTTTTTTTGTGAAATTAATTTATTAGTCAAGAGATACAATTTATAAAAAAAAGTATCAGAAATTTTCGAAACTAATATTAGCAAGAGTATTGTTTGCTACTACAGTATTAGATGGATGATGTTTCACTATATTTATTTGGGTTTGTTAATATTTTTTGTCATTTCTGTGGCTTATGATTTAAAATTATAGACAAAATAATTGGCTATTTTTTGTATAACAAGATTCTGATTGGTTAAAAATCTATAAACCCAATTTTTTTATAGATTAAACGCCAAATTTTTAATTACATATAAACTTTAGGCTCTAATAACCTTTTAAATTTATAATAAAAATAAAAATCTGTCTTACAGAATTGTAGCTTAGACTAAAAGCAACAAAACTGTAAGACAGATTTTTTTTAAAATCATTTGTTCATAAGTTATAAGCATTTTTATATTATTATGGATGTTTCTTGCGGTACTGTATTAATATTTTTTTTTAAAAAAAAAATTTATTGCACCAGAACGATGTTGCACCTAATTAATGTTTTTTTTTTTTTATTAAGCCAATACCAGTATTAACTCTTAAAATATAAATTTACAGACTTTTTATATCAAAGTGATTTATTATAAAATTAGCTGGATTTTTCAAGTTTATTGTTATTTTTTTATATGTAATTAAAAAAGAATGCAGTTTAAAAATAGTTTTTTTTTTTGTATCGATAAAATTATACATGATATGTAATTGATACTGTATAATTTTTGTTAATACATTTTGCAAAATGAACCTAATTTTGGGTAAATATGCACATTTATCATATAAAAATATTGATAAAAAAGGGAGACGAATTTAATCAAATAAAAATTAATGCCTACAAAAAGACAAAGTTAGAGCAGATAGCACAGTAAAACATTCGATTATCTCAACAATAAATTATACTTACAAATGAAGAGTGTAAATGACATGAACACGTCCTTCTTTGGGACTAGCAAGCTCTTGAAAAGCAGCGGGTGATAAATCAATATCGCCAAGTTGGCAACCAGCACATCTATCTATAATCTTTACGGTAACATGCTTACCACCACGTTCAACTACAGCAGTAGAACCACAAGCTTTCTTGCTAGTCAAATGATCAAATTGTTGTGCAGGCAAAGCAGCTACCATTTGTTCGTTGTTATTGACTTGCCCGCAGGCACCTAGGCCTACAGCGTAAAATGTACCTTCACCCGAATAGGTACCTCGTCTGAAGATAAAGGAATTAATTAGGTTTGAGTCGCTTTCAGAGATTGAAAATGAAAAGGTTGTAAGAAGTAGCAAATGTAAGTATAAATGTTTAATGATTAAACGCATTTTAAAATTTTTTTCATGTAAATTTCTCTTAAGCATATTTTTTGAAACGAAAAAAAGCGAGTCTTTTAAAGGTTTAGAAAAGCTTACAATTTTATATTGAAACAAATTATGCATCAGAAGGAGAATGTACTAAATTTCGCGGAGAACATAAAAAGGTTGATTATTCTTGGACATAGCCGAGACACTCCTTCAGGCATGTACCATTCATTAGTTAGGCTTTCGAGTATACTGAGACAATTTTCAGCCTGAAACACATAGTAAATAAAGTAGGGAGATAAAATAATGAATCATAGCAAATTGTTTCTTTCAAGAGGATGTTCAGGAGACTTCTCCTCACATCAAGATAAGGGGAAACAAGATTGGATGGATACAAATTCATGAATTAGTCGAACAATAATGTATTTATTATTGACTAAAAAATTCAAGCCTTTTAGTTTAGTTTTCGTGAATTCATCTTTATCACGTGAATAGTCCATGCACCACTTTAAAAGTTGAATTTTTTGTCTAAATTCAGATTTGAACTTCGAACACTACTCTTTTTTTTTTTCACACCTTGGTTCAAAAACTGCTTTATTTATTTGCGCAATTTAAATCAAAAGGAAATAATCAGTAATTTTTAATAACTTCATACTCAGACTTCGGATTTACAACCTTCTAAAAATGAAACTTAGTACTATATAAAGATATAATTTTACGTTAAGACACTGAAGTGTACCCAGAGGTCAGTTTAAATATTAATTTTTCTGCTTTTCTTCTTCACGCGTGTTATCCACAATCAGGCTATATTTTCTTTTTTAGGATCTATGTTACCAACTAAACTAGGAAAACAGACACTGAGGACAAAAGTCTCGTGTTTGACAGCGGGATCAATATGTATGGGTGATCAGAGTTATATGCACAATATGTGCGTGTGTACTTAGCTGCTACGTAGTAATTTACACTATATATGTCATATTTGATCTGCTTCAATTTAATCATAATTGTCTAATTGATGATTTTTAAAAACTTGAGTTGAATGATGGAATATGGCTAATTTGTGTGACCGCTCCCAAATCCAAAGAAAATCGCTATTTGGCTCGCATGTTAAGTATATACTTAATTTGGATTTCATAGTGACTTTTACATCATTTTTAAATAAACTCCTTATATTTGAATTTCAGTAACCTTATACCCAATTAAACCTGTTAATTTAAACAACGTTGATTATGTTCAAATTTTTATTTGTCAGCCTGATTTTTTGATATAAAAAACTCAAACGATATTTTGCAGATAATATGCATTAATTTTGACAAATTAATTAAAGTTAAATGCCATCACGGTCGATAATTACAAACTGATTTGATAATGCATGAAGACTTCATACAGAGATTGTTCCATATTACATTATTATATTAATACGTACAAGGTTAATGATTTTCAAATATTTATTCTCGACCGGTTTTTTTCCGGACAGGATTACGTTATGATAGAATCATCACAAGAATATTCTTCACTTTCATAATTGGGAGTTATTAATTACAAGTGTATAATATTAGTAATTCTTAGGCGTAAAATTTTTTTGCCGATCTCATGACCAAAAATTTTGAGGGGTCTTATGCGGTACGTTACGTTACGTACGTACGAGCTTTTATCTCTCATTTCCTTTTTTAATTGATTCAATAATTTCATAAGTTCGCGAGGCTTATCAAGCACTTTTACTTCTCTATTAGGAAAAAATGAGATAGAGATAGGGAGTAAATAAAAAAGTATACCTTTGTATATACATAAATAAATATATATATATCAGAATATTTATAAATTTTATTTGTTGCTCGAAAATAAAGTTTAAAATCAACACAATTAAATCTAAAACTTAATATGAACAATTCTTTCGTCACTATTTGGAATTTGATCTTTATCCTCTTCATTTTTCAAGGGTTTCACGCTTCAAGAGTGTTTCATTTACAACATGTTTTTTATGAAAATATGGTTTATCGTGGAAGATTATTCGGAAAATTCCTTCACATAACTGGTTGACAATCTTTGTTTTTGCATTTCTTTTAATATATAGTTTTTTTATCATCTAAAACTTTTGTTTATGCGAACAGATCTTCATGTTGATCCATATTACCTTGAATCAAGCGATCCAACATCGTTTTGTCATCGCTATTCACCGAATTCAGTACTAAACATTGCCGGAAAATTCGGTTTATTATCGTCACCATGTGATTCACCTTATCCTTTGACGAATTCTACTTTTGAATTTATGCGGTCGAACTTCAAAGATATAGACTTTGTCGTATTTACCGGTGATTCTGTTAGGCATGATAAAGATAAATCATTTAAGCGAACCGAAGAACAAGTTTTGGATGGTCATAGAAGAGTTGTGCAATATTTTCTAAAGTATTTCGATCTATCAAGAACTAAATTTGTATGTTTTTTTTTTTCTTTTTTTTTTTTAAAAAAGCATTATATCTTTATATTGGTTAACGCTCTTCTCTTTTGTAAGATGCCATCGCTCGGAAATAATGACGAATTCGGTATGATTAACGTTGAATTTTCCCGTTTTCTGTTTCACGTGTTAAAGCCTTGCTGCGGTCCATTTTTTTAATCTTGTCCTTTATATAGAACACAATCGATTATCTGAAGGTCCAAACGATTTATTTAGCAATTTAACTCAAATATGGGCACCTTTGAAACTGAACTTAACTTCTGACTTTCTGAATGGAGGATACTATCGTCAAGATATTCATAGCAAATTCTCTATACTTAATCTCAATTCCATGTATTTTTACAAAAAGAATAAATTACTACGTGATTGTGATATAATGGATAGTGGCGGTGCATTACAACTGAAATGGTTAGAACGTGAATTAAAAAATGCGCGTGATGAAAGACGAAAGATTTATATTTCACAACATGTTCCTCCGCTGGAAGATACTAGTATGTGAACATAAAGCGTCGAAAGTTTAAATTCAATACGCGTGATTAATATAATATTTTCTTTTGTGAAAATATAGATGAGATATTATATTCACCAGCATGCTTTAATGCATACGTGCAGTTAATTGGCAAATATTCGGATGTTATCTGTGGTCATTTCACAGGTATTTTTTTTTTCCTGTTATTAAAATTTTATCATTTATTTATATTTTTATTCTCATATTATCAAATATATATATTAGGACACACAGATAAAGATAGTCTAGCATTCGTTACCGCCAATGAAAACGAAGATACATATTCGATATCTGCCCTGAACGACACACACATTCTATCTACAATTGCCACAAACAATATCGTATTGGCTTTAACAAATGCTCCATCATTAAAACCAAGTAAGTTCAATATGAATTAATAATTTACGGTCCCACAATTCTGACCTACGTACGTACGTGTCAAGGAAGTGATATTATGTAATATCATTGCTAAAAACCGGATTTACGTAAAATTTTATATTGGCGTATTTATGCCGGAATTAGGGCTGTTATTAAGCAATACCAAGGTAGGTTAGTCATAATAAAAAAAATATCGAGATCACAAGATCAACGATCGCTTCCAAACATACTTTAGAATATCTGATATGCATATGATTTTACAAATCGTTGATCTTGTGATCTCGACATTTTTTTGCCATGACACAATACCAGCCACTATACTTATAGAAAAATCATACCGATACGTGATTTTTACTTATATGACTTCTTCAGTTCCGACCTGATTCAAGCCGGAATTCTTCCCGTACGATTTTAAAATTATCGTTATTGGCTATGATAAAAAATGTCTTATTTTAGAAGCCCGATATTCTGTCAATGTCTGGATACAGTAATAACTTGTTTGAATTGTCAGGAAATCGAGCTTTCGGGATTTTTATATATCAATCTTAACAGTCCGAGTTGTGGGTATCGAAATTTCTTAGCGACTCGATTTTAAACAATTTTTTTTTTCATCTTTTTGTAGCTCATAATCCAGCAATAAGACAATACGAGTATTCAACAAGATATTGGGATTTTGGTTCATTAAAAGATTACAAACAATACTTTGTAAATCTAACGGAAGCAAATGAGATTGGTGAGGCTATATGGAGAGTTGAATATATAGCTAGTAAGACTTATGGGATGAATTCTTTGGGTGCAAAAGATTGGGCCAGGGTTTTGAAAGATTTTCAATCACCTGATAGTGATACTTGGAAGTTATATGTTAAACATATGACAGTTAGTGGTCCTTAAAAAAAAAAATGTATTGGTATGTAATTAGAGTTTATTTAGGAAACTCAAACATTTATAAATTATCAGATTTAATTATTTTTTAGTCTTATGTTGAATTATTTCGAATTTATAATTAAATAACAATATTGCTAGACAGTATTGTTATAAATTAGCTTAAAAATAAGGTTAATATATTTTAACCAAAAAAAAATAAATTGTAATTATTTAGAATTTACTGAAAAAATCGATTTATATTTTATAGCATTAGTAGCAATAAACAAATACGACAAAAAAACAATAAAAATATTTTAAAAACTTTCATTTATGTGTTAATATATATTATATAATGAGTATTGCTAATCTTAACTGGGGTAATCTTCCCTGGGGATGTTTGGAGGTGCTATATCTCAAAAACGTACTAAGTAAACGGGATCGGGTATCTTAAGCAAAAATGCTCAGGACCCCTGAAAACCTTGCGAGAACTATAATCAGGACCTTATATCAAATATATATATACATATTATATTATATAAAAAACTCCTATATATCTTAAAGCTGCACCCTAACCCTAAAAATACTAAGGGAGGTAATTTCCCCGGTTAAACGTAGTAATTTCTTATATAATATACGGTAACATATAAATTTATTTATGAAAATATTTTTACGTTATTTTTACGTTATTTTTGCCACTGTCATATAGTTTGAAGTTAAAAATCTTGATGAGTAAATAATTTTAGTTTCATGTATTGAGATAAGAATTAACGTTTTCTCAATGGAATCAATATCAATAAATTTAGATTTCTCTTGATTTTGTATCAGGCAACCGAATAATCGATTGTAGGGTAATTTGACGTAAATGGTTGTGGCGCAGGCACAATTAGCTTACGTATCGGTATCATATCAAATGACCCAAATCAGCAGCCTTTCTAAAATTCTCAAAGGCTTTTTTTCTATCTATTCCAATATAAAGACCCTCTATATATTTTTGTCCAAGTTGATAAAGTTCTTTAGCATTTGATTCATATTTTTTTAATTAATATAAAATTATTTTTTTATACGTTTCATTTATATAGTTTCTTAAATCTAAGTTGGTTAATTATTATTAGAACAATTAACATTCTTTAATTGAGGGCAATTATCGTTGGTTAATTGAAGTAAAACTTTATTGTATTCAAGCATCGCATTATTGTATAATTTTCAATAGTAAAATTTTTTTCTTTTATTGATCCGGGGGATCTTTTAGTATCTATTGGGATGTTAAACCGGTCAAACCAAACCATTTAAGCTCCGAATTAGTATTAAATAACAAATTTTAGATATTTTACAATTATATTTTTTTATTTAAATGACAATTTATCCTATAATACTTAAAAAAAAATATTTAAAACAATAAAAAAAAAACAAATATTCGTTAAATATCATTTGGAACTTCTATGCCAGCAGATTTACTAAGTTTTAGTTTTGATAACCTTTCACTAATTTCCAAAGTGTTAAATGGCTTGCTAGTGTATATATTTTTTAGCTCTTCTTTAATTATTGTAAAATTTTTGTTAATCTTATCACTTTCTAAAAACTGCTTTTTAATTTCATTTTCGGAATTTCTTTTCGAAGTTTTCAACCTTCTTTTTAATTTTATAATACCTAAAAATTGCTTTTTAGTTTCATTCAAAATTTCCAACCATTCATTTAATTTAGTAATAATTTCATTAGTAGTTGGTCGTTTTTCTGGATTTGAATCCATGCATCGATTTGCTAATTCAACATAATAATTAGGTGTTCCAATTCCAAATTTTGGTCGCAATCCTTGACAAATCATAATCGCAAGATCTGTATCAAATTCATGACTATCAAAAGGTCTCTGTCCAGTTGTCATTTCTACCATGATGATTCCAAATGAATAAATATCTGCTGCTTGAGTGTATGGTTTTCTTTGAAAAAGTTCTGGAGCAACGTAAGGCAAGACACCATGAATATGATTTTCTTGTTCTTTCTCATCAAGTGGTTTTGATAAACCTAGATCGGTAATATATGCTTCGTAATCTTCTTTTAACAAGATATTTCCCGGATGTAAATCTCGATGTAAATATCTTTTATCATGAATACGATCAAGATTAGATATAATATCATGAAGTATCTTTAATTTAATTTTCCATTCAAACTTAAAGATATCAGCAAGATTTTTGCTTAATGAACCATATTTTGCATAACTCGTCACTAATATATAATCGTTCGTTTTTTCGTCTCTTGATATTCCTAGATATTGTCCTAAGCTATGACAAGCTTTTAACTAAAAAAACAAAATAAATTATTATATTTAAATTATTTAAATAAAAATAAATATTAAAAATACCTCTTTTAAGAATGGTTCTTTATTCTTATTGGAATCTTTTACGATCTTGATTGCTACTTCTTCATATGTCCCAGATTGGTTTAAATATTTTGTTCTAAAAACAGTGGAAAATGCTCCTTTACCTATTTCTTCAATATTTTTGAATTTATCATATGCCATCCAATGAAAAAATTCACCTTTTTCATCAGTAGTTTCAGCTTGTTCAGTGATAGCAGCTTTTAAATACCATTCGAAAGCAATATCTATATCCTTTTCAACAACATCTCCTCTTCGGTAATATTCACCAACATAATACATCCCATCAGGAAATCCCATCTCTGCTGATTTTTTATAGTATTCGAATGCCTTATGTTCATCTGTTTCAACTCCAATTCCACTTTCATAACACCATGCAACATTCCATGCTGCAATAATATGTCCCATTTCTGCTGATTTTTGATAATATTCAAATCCTTTTTTTTCATTCATTTTGACTCCAATACCATTAATATAACAACCTGCAACCCAATTTGTTCCAACAGCATCACCCATGTTTAACGCTTTTTGATAATATTCAAATGCTATTTGCTCATCCTTTTCAACTCCAAATCCATTTCGATAACAATTTCCAACAGTCCATATTCCACGAACATAACCCATATTAGCAGTTTTTTGATAATATTCGAATGCTCTCTGATTATCATATTTGACTCCAATTCCAAATCCATAACATACCCCAATATTAAATATTCCTGTAGTATCACTCATATTAGCAGCTTTTTGATAGTATTCGAATGCCATTTGTTCATCTTTTTTAACTCCGATTCCATATCGATAACATTCACCTAAAGCACATAAATGACCCAAATCAGCAGCCTTTCTAAAATACTCAAAGGCTTTTTTTCTATCTATTCCAATATAAACACCTTCTATATATTTTTGTCCAAGTTGATAAAGTTCTTCAGCGTTTTGATTCATTGTTATTTTTTTTTAATATAAAATTTTTATACGTTTCATTTATAGTTGCTTAAATCTAAGTTGGTTAATTGATTATTATAAAACTTTATTGATTGTTTTTGTTGTACTAATTTAGAGTACTAAATATTACACTATAATTTAAATAAAAACTTTATTAATTTTCAACATTTAATTCAAACTGTTCAAACTGTTCAATCCATTCAAACTATGTAAAATAACTGTGAAAGTACTGTGAATAAACGACCATCCGTACACAATATATGCAGATAACTGTAATCCGTATTACACGAATTTGAACTACATAAATTAACATATTTCAAAAATACTGTAAGTGGACGTACTGTACAACATGGTCTATTTCTGGTTTGAAATTTTGAAATAAGAAAATGAAATAGGAATTATCCGGGTCAAAATGTGTATCTTTTTTTTTTTTGATATATTGTTATCATATATACAGTACTATCATAATAAATTAATAAAGAACCGCTTAAAATTTTTTTAAATTTTTAAAAATAGGGGGTTTCAAAGTTAAAATGCGGAAATCCAATTTTAATTGAAATTGATGTCGTATTTATTTTGAAATAAGTGATCCGGCAATCAGATCTTATCTTCAACTTGAATGAAAGTTTTACTTTTTATTTATTTATTTTTTACGAAGTATTATAAAAATTTTCCGA